TTGGAATGTAGTTTGACCTTTAGTATAAAAGGTAATTTTCTAAACGTAACAAAAATCGGACGTCTGCGGATTTGTATTAGTGATCATCATAGATTAACGTGTTTTGTATATCTAAAAAATCACTTTTCAAATAATTCATTTTAATATTGAAGTTGTTCTTCATAACAAGCTCAGAAGATTTATGATGACTCCTTTCACGAGAAGATATAAAGTCATCTCCATAATGTGATTTTCCTCATCTGTATTGATGCAATCACAGGGTGTGGTTATTTTGTTACGTTCTGTTACGTACAACTGTATATGTTAATACTAGAGCTCATGATGAACGATTTGTTGCAATTCTTGACAATACAATATCTATTATATTAAAGAGCAGTCATCATCCAAACATTACGATAAATATAAATACAATCCGTTCTAATGTAAACCCTCTTATCTTGTTGTCTACTTAAGTTAGATTTTATCTGATATGAGTGAACGAGTAGTCATACACAGCACACTAGTTTACATAAGACCTATTAATATGGTATGAGAGATTAAGGAGACAATATATACTGCCCACCAAAGGTCATTCACATGACAGATTTGACACATTTTCTCAAATTTTATCGACAAATGCATCTCCATGGACATCCAACCTTATGATATTTACAAGTTTAAATGGATGTTTTCCTGAATGGTGACTTTTAATCAGCTTGGAAAATGAACATATAAAAAGTGAGTTTTTTCATCAGTTATTGAATATTTTTTCTGAAATTTAATGTGCATGTACCTCAATTTTGTTTGAGAAATATTGGAGGAGGATTTTTTTTGTGACAGGGATTGTTTAATGCTAACTGAATTTGATATACAGTTTGGTGTGGCAGCACTATTTGAATGACCTTAACTGGGGGTTATCACAAGTGGTAATACATTGAGATAACATATTCACAAACACAAGTATCGCTTACAAACTTTGTAAACGATCACTGTTTAGTGTATAAAACCTATATCCCACCTGGTATAATATACAAATGTGTTAGTCACTATGAATGAGATGTAACCAACGATGGTCATATATTAGGCCACCAATACCCTTTACATTCAATTCAATACCTGGATTTGTCGATTGTATTTCACAGACAGTTATAAACTCGATAAAAAGAAGTGTTTCAGTGGAAATAGGTGAGCAATGTTTGTTAGAATACGATGTATAGCCTCTGCCATCAACTTTATTTCATCGTCACAGCGCGTGGTTAATTTAGTGGGGTATGTGTCAATATGTGCTAAGGATGGGTATGTGTCAATATGTGCTAAGGAGGGGTATGTGTCAAAATGTGCTAAGGATGGGTATGTGTCAATATGTGATAAGGATGGGTAAGTGTCGGTTATGTGCTAAGAATGGATATGTGTCGGTATGTGCTAAGGATGGGTATGTGTCGGTATGTGCTAAGGATGGGTATGTACAAATGTTGCAATATGTTGATAAAAATTTCATAACATGTTTGCATGTACATGTTGTTAGTATACCGAGGAGTTGTGTGTGTGTTTTGTTTTACAATACTGTATACCGGGAAACTTTCGCTTTTTACCGACAGAGTCCTTATTAGCCCAGTGTTAAATTCGCCCTACATCGCCAACATTGGAACACATTGGACCCCAATTGCATCACATACGGTATTTGTGTTAAGCCTCAGTGTAGACGAAATAGTGACAAAATATGTGCCATCGTATACCTAACTTCTTTTTAAACTTTAGCCGTCATGTTAAATTCGCCCTCAGATCGGAAGGCGAAAGGGGCGAAAGTTAAACTGCGCCGAAAGTTTCCCGGTATCCAGTATACTTCGGGGAAAATCTCTTGCTGAGATCGATTTTGATTATGAAAGGATTTTTACTAATATGATCATGTACATATCGTTCGAAAAACTGTTAAACTTAATGTTTTTGTATCAATAGATACAAGACAAAACCTTGATATTATGTTATTCCTTTGTCAAATTGAATCCGTATTAATCTGGGCAACATTACACAAAGTGATCATTTTTTATTGCAAAATATTATTATGATATTAACCATTATATATACAATAACTTAAATGTAAAACAAAATGCTGTTAGTCATGATGAAAATAATGAACTTATCATCAAGGAAGTCATGCTTGATTTAACTAAACCCTGTACACAAGAAATGTAAATGGCATTGATATATAAAAAAAAAACTTCTGGAATGTAGTAAAGGCTTTGAATTGATGGCCAAACATTGTCAAATTTAAAGATCGTTGATTTTGTTTTCAACTGCATTAGTTATTCGTAAGTAATGGGTTTGTTCTACGTTAACACGTGTTGTGCCAAGTTTCTCTATAGAGACGGTTGATCCACACTTCACTCTTTCGTTAGTTACATTCTTGTCCCGATCTCAATACGTCACTTGATACCCAGAAGTGAACTACTTTGAATAATATTTATCAATGGAGTATGATAAAAAGGCGGTGCGGTTGTTGTAGCATTCCACAGCACGTCTAGTTGACAGACAGACTGGGATAGTATATCTAAACGAGTTTACTGCTAATTTCCAGCGTAAAATATTTAACAAACAGGAAAACTGTCGTTCACATATAATAACAAAGGCATAGCCTGACTAAAACAATATTTTATTGACACAAATTAACTCTTTTTGTAGTTAATTCTGGTTTAAAATCATGTTTATTTGTGTTAATTTTTTATGAGAAATCATAATAATAACAACCGTTATGTATGAGGTAAAAGCAATCGTTAACCACGTACTAAATAAAATGGAAAAAAACCAAGACGCAATTTATAGGTGTACTCGATATTATCACTCGTGTGTAAATCCTATAACTCCAAACACTATGTAAACCCGTATATAAGATAACAATGTAATCGTACGATCGTATGATACAGGTATACATTTTCCATGCAGACACCTGAACCTTCAATCCGAACTATTTATTCCACGCCGTTTGAAAGGAGTGGTGTTTTTTTTGTATGGAGGTAAATTCCCGGCGATATCAAGGTCAAATGATAACGGTTCTCTAGGTAGAATTGAAAAGTAGGAATAGGGGCAGCTGATACATTTCGGTTTCTTCATTCTCTCTGAGTAGACAATACAGATCAACGATACAGAAAAACCCTGAGTGGATGGTAGGGGGAGGGGTGCAAAATAAATCGCCTCTTACTATAACACACCATGGGATACGGCAGGCTTATTTTTTTCTCGAACCTACTGGGGTCTAGTACGTTAGTGTAGAATGACTTGCATATATTGAAATGTCGTTATATTACAGCTAGCTATACGTGCAGGAATTTCCTTCCCTAGTATTATTATTATTATTAAATGCTGAATGGGGGGAGGGTGCAAAATAAATCGCCTCTTACTATAACACACCAAGGGATACGGCAGGCTTATTCTTTTCTCGAACCTACTGGGGTCTAGTACGTTAGTGTAGAATGACTTGCATATATTGAAATGTCGTTATATTACAGCTAGCTATACGTGCAGGAATTTCCTTCCCTAGTATTATTATTATTATTAAATGCTGAACGGCCCATTAGCACAGGATAGGTCATTAGGGCCATCAAATGGTAGAAAAAACAATGCAAAACAAAAACATCAAAAAAACTAAAAGGTTAAAAAAAAACCACATCAATTTAAATATCGAAAGTGGCTATGGTGACTCAATTTTTATTAGTTCAACAGCTTTCAGATAGCCTTAAATTGAAGAGACTTGCTTTCGAAAAGAGATTTAAGACATGTAATGTTATTATAGAAATTTTCTCGAGTTATGAATTTGTATTGATTTTCATTGCATCTTTTCTTCTTCTCTTTACGTTCTACTAATTTTTGAATATAAATATTGCTTGGACGAAATATTAGGTAATGTAAATGTTGTTCACATTTTGAAACAATTATGTACAACAACATCATTTGATAACACATGTTTTTATCATAATTGATACTGGAATGTTTTATAGCGAATAATTTCAGGCGAAATACCTCGCGTGGGGTTCGTCGTTTCGATTCGTTCACACATTATTTTACATCAAAAAATATATCATGGTATGTCAGTTATGAATAATTATGAAATGTACGTGTACCTCGTCCACCTTTCAAGGACCCTGCAGGTAGGGCGTAAGAATTGTACCTGCTGTCCCAAATTGCATGATCGTAAGAGGCGACTAAATTTGGGACCTTATCTCTTCTCTCCTTTCTAAATAACTTTCTTCTTCATAATGTCTCCCTTGACAATGCCTCACTTTTGGCCATTTGTTGAGCATTCGCCCCTGTGAGGAAGGCTTTGGGTTCTGTCCCCTGGCCGAGACATACCAAAGTCTTTAAAAATGGTAGTTTATACTCCTGCTTAACGCTCAGCAAATTATGAGTGGGACGACTGGTTTTCCCGTTGTCAGTATATTGTGACAGGGTGGGGCGTCCTGCTGGGTGTCTTCGGCAGTATGTTTCAGTGAGGTAGCACTATAAAGTCGGCATCAGTTCCGCGCTATCACAAGGAGACAAACACGAACATATCGCAGCCTCCCAAAATACACACACATACACTACACGCATGCATCTTGCACACAGGGGAGGCCGTCCTCAAATGACCTTAGCTGTTAATAGGACGTTAAACAAAATCAAACAAACAAACAAACAAACCACCTTTCAAAACAGAGAACCTAGAATGTTCTCAAGGTAGAGCAGACTATCGCAGATGTATTACTTTACGTATTAAATACACAAACCGTATTCATAACGACAGTTAGATACCGTGTTTGACTCTTTGTAACGTCATTGATTTTCCTAATTCTATAAAAAAAAACCACCCACCTCATTTCACCCCTGGTAACGAAGGTACATGAACAGCGCCGAACAGCAGATAAGATATTTCGGGGATTGGTCGTACCAGGTAGATATTTCAGGATAAATATAGATCCAGGTAACATCTACCTGAGTACGTGTATATACGCTCAGTTACAAAGTCATTCATTCGGTTATACATATAACAGATCAAACTTAAGCTGAAGAAGCCCTTCTCTTCCAATATTCCAGAGAAGATGGGGGAATTCAACACAGTCCAAAGGTTCCGCCTAATATTCATACTACTTGTAATACCCTGTTGGTCTTTAGCATTGGTGAGTATCATTTATCATTTCAATCATATTTTGATAGAGTGTAGTAGCCAGGACTAGTTTAAGATTACTGCACTAAGCACATAACGAGTCACCCTGCTAAGTGTAACCCCATATTTCAGGCTTTGATGTTGTACGTACACGTATCAGTGTGTTGGTGCCTGTATTGTACATGTAATATGTTTCAGCAATATATCATATCATTATTGTTTATATCCAAACTTAGATACATTTTCGTGATAGAAATATATTGCTGGTATTAGTTATTAGCTCACCTGGCCCGAAGGATCGGTGAGCTTATACCATGGCGCAGCGTCTGTCGCCCGTCTGTCGTCCGTCAACTTTTCCTAAAAATCGCTACTAGTCATGAACGACTGAGCAGATATTGACCAAAGTTAGTCAGAATCATGCTTGGGGGAAGTGGAACAGATTTTGTACGAATGGTGGGTCTTCTTCTGTAGGAATGAAAGGATTTGTTCCAAATTTGGTCTGAAGCATTCTTGGGTGACGGGAACCAATTTTGTATAATGGTGGGTCTGGTCCCCCAGGGACCTGAGGGGCGGGGCCCAATAGGGGAAGCATAGCAAATTCTTTAAAACCCTTCTTCTTCTGTAGGAATGAAAGGATTTATTCCAAATTTGGTCTGAAGCATTCTTGGGTGAAGGGAACCAATTTTGTATAATGGTGGGTCTGGTCCCCCAGGGACCTGAGGGGCGGGGCCCAATAGGGGAAGCATAGCAAATTCTTTAAAACCCTTCTTCTTCTGTAGGAATGAAAGGATTTATTCCAAATTTGGTCTGAAGCATTCTTGGGTGAAGGGAACCAATTTTGTATAATGGTGGGTCTGGTCCCCCAGGGACCTGAGGGGCGGGGCTCAATAGGGGAAGCATAGGAAATTCTTTAAAACCCTTCTTCTTCTGTAGGAATGAAAGGATTTGTTCCGAATTTGGTCTGAAGCATTCTTGGTTGAAGGGGAACCAATTTGTATAATGGTGGGTCTGGTCCCGCAGGGGTCTGAGGGGCGGGGCCCAATAGGGGAAACATAGCAAATTCTTCAAAATCCTTCTTATTCTGTAGGAACTTAAGGATTTGTTCCATATTTGGTCTGAAGCATTCTTGGGTGAAGGGTAACCAATTTTGTATCAAACGTTGGTCTGGTCCCCCAGGGGCCTGAGTGTTGGCGCCAAATGGGAGAAATATTGAAAATTCTGTAAAATCCTTCTTCTGCAGAAATATAAGGATTTGTTCCATATTTGGTCTGAAGCATCCTTGAGTGTAGGGGAACCAATTTTGTATAAACCGTGGGTCTGGCCCCCCAGGGGCCTTAGGGGCAGGGCTCAATAGGGGAAATACAGCAAATTCTTTAAAATCCTTCTTCATCTGTGGGAATGGAAGGATTTGTTCCATATTTGATCTGTAGCATTTTTGGGTGAAGGAAAACCAATTTTGTATAATGGTGGGTGTGCCCCCCNGAATGAAAGTATATCTTCCATATTTGGTCTGAAGCATTTTTGGGTGAAGGGGAACCAATTTTGTATAAACCGTGGGTCTGGCCCCCATAAATCCCTTTTCTTTTGCAGGAATGAAATGAAAGGTTTTGTTGATATTTAGTCCGAAGCATCCTTGGTGAAGGGGAACCAGTATTGTTTTAACAGTTGATGTGACCCCGGGAAGCAGAGGGGCGCCCTATTAAGAGACTTTAAAGTCCTTCCTCTTCTGTTAGGATGAAGGCATTTTGCCCAAAGTTGTTCAGGGTATTTTTAGGTGTAGGGAACTTGTTTAGTAGAAATGGTGGGGCTGACATTAGGGGGTTAAGGGGGNNAAATAAGTTTAATTCTTGGACATGGTTGAGATCCCCAACGTATTGCTGAGTATAAAGAGAAGAATGCACATTTGCCTCCAGGCTGGCCCCAGCCTTGGAGACATAGTCCCTTGGTCATAACTTTGAAACGGTTAAGATCACCACCCTAGAACTATATATACAAATGCTGGGCATAAATTGACGAATGTAGTCATGATGTTAGAATAGACCATGGGGTCTGACCAAAACCCTAAGGACAAAGTTTCTTAGCCACAGATTGGAAACAGTTGAGATCCCCACCCTATAACTATATATACAACTGCTGAGGATAAAGAGATTAATGCACATATTCTTCCAGGATGGCCTTGGGGTCTGCCCTACCCTTGGAGACTTAACCCCTGGGTCATAACTTCGAAATGGTTAAGATCCCCACCCCAAAACTATATATACAATTGTTGGGCATAAAGAGACGAATGCAGTCATGATATTATAATTGACACCAGGGTCTGCCCCAAAACTGTAAATACAAATGCTGGGCAAAAAGAGACGAATGCAGTTATGAATGTATTAGTATTGATCCTGGGGTCTGGCCACAACCCTAGGTACCTAGTTTCTGAGTCACAGCTTGGAAACAGTTGAGATCCCCACCCCATAACCATACATAAAAGTGCTGGGCATGGAAAATCTAATACAGATATGCTACAAGGATTGGCCTTGGGGTCTGGCATATTCCCTTGGATCTCATTTAGAGAATATTTTGCCATGACTGCTTAGATATCCAGGCGAGCGATACAGGCCCTCTGGGCCTCTTGTTTGATTTTTATTCAATGATTTTTCATCTTGTAAATGAGAAACTGCGATGTCCTATTTACAGGGCGTATACCTTTTATATTGAATAGTTTTAATATTTGAATTTAGCTAAATATTTACGATATGATTATAATGCAAATATTTTGTTTATTTTGTTTTCTCCAAATTTTTCTTTGGTAAACGAAACATTTAAATGTACTATTTACAGGGTCAGACAGAACATACTTATATAGCTACTACTGGTATAGCATGTGTCCTCTGCCCTCCTGGATACTTCCACATAAAGGATTGTGATACTCCAAATACAATTGCGGTGTGCAGGCCATGTCCAACAGGAACATTTTCAAGAACTTACAACAGAGCTATACATTGCGCCGCCTGCATGCCTCACTGCGAGTCGGATGTCCTTGTCACGGTTCAGAAGTGTAACGCCACTATGAACATGGTGTGTGATTGTCCCCCCGGATTGATTCTTGAAAACCCCATGGACAAACACCATGCTAAATGTACGCCTTTTCAAGGCTGTGACGCAGGATCCGGAGTGATTGAGCAAGGTAGGTTTTATTGTAAAAGACTATCGAGAAATCTTTTCACATAAAATAAAACAGAAATTGTTGTATGCACTGTATTACAACTATATTTACTTACCAAAGTCAGTCAGGAGTTACTTTCAACCTGTTCACATACTCATGACGTAATTATAATTTTGACGATAGCTGGCCTTTTCTCGCCTTTAAATGTTCTATTTATTGAAAATCTTTCTCAAATTTTAAGGCGAAATATGAAATTTAAATCTCAGATATTTGTCAAAATCAATAGAAAAGATAAGTGTGTATACTCTGTTAATGCGAATTAGTCAATTTGTCTAACTTGAGTACGAATTATCAATGCTAATTAGAATTCAAACAAGTCAGCAAAGGCCCCACCATATCACCATGTATCACCATGACATATTAAAACAAAAAGATGAGACCTTTTGATTTCGGAATGACAACCGTACCAACATCTACCTTCGTCTATTTTTAGTAACAGTGATCTTCACATTTAATTTTTTAAATCCTTCTTGCACATCTTCATAAACTATTGTCACAAAGTCAAATTTTAAAAAAGAGTAAACTTTTACATTCCGAGAGAAGGACTGTACCCCACACACCAAAGCTTCTATTTTAGTTACAGTGACCTTGACCTTAAAACAAAATGAAAACCCCTATTGCACATCCGGAAACGATAGTGTGGACGGACAGACAGATTGACAGATGGACATTGTGATTACTATAGGGCACCCGCATTTCCGATGTTGGGTCTTAACTAACACATTATCTTATTTAGACTAAACCAAGTTCACTTTTTTCCAAATTTGACAGGGACAGACTTCTACGCTGAAACAACTTGACGATGTCCTTCAGACATATTTCATCTTTACAATTACAAAATAAGTTATGAACTGATAATGGTGAATTATTTGTAAATATTACAATAGAAGAGTATTCAGTAATACATGGAATATTATATTTAATATCCCGACTCATTCTGTTGTCAGGTACTCAAGGTCATGAGCCCGTTTGCGCAAAGTGTAGACCAGGCATTACTTTTTCCCCGGAGGTATCATGGAATGAACCTTGCTATCCATGCACGCAATGCCCGAACAATGACGTTTTGCATGAATGCAACGCAACACACGACAGCATTTGTAATTTCCCGAGACTTAAGTATTCATATTTGCCAGTTAACTAGTTGTAAAATCAAAAATAAATTGTGTTTTTGTAAATCGTGTATATATATATATATTATATAAGGAGAAAAATTCTCATTACGGACGAAGAAATATTATAAAAAGAAAAATTCTCAACAACGAGTCTTTAGTACTTTCATCTCTTCTAGGAGATTCTTCAGACTGTTTATTTGAAGTATATATTTTGACGTCATAAAATATGACGTCATATAATAGTTCGCTATAGCGACGTCCGCTATATACGTACCCGCCATAGCGATATCACAGCAATAGAAATACATTAATTATAGTCTTAAGGCAAAGAGTACTATTTGTTTAGGATTTAGAATTACTAGTTATACTATTATTTACAACAACAAAAAATAATAATCTATACCGGTAAAATTACAGCCGATTATGTTCATTAATTTCAAATCTTAAATAGGAATCATCAAAGAATGTTTTATTTTGTCATATTTACAACATAAGGAATATCAAATTGGTGAATATTATAAAATATATTATTTAAATGCTTATATTCACTACATAAAATGGAAGTTACATCTTAGTCTATTATGATTCATTCTGTTGATATTCACTTCCACCAGGAATGATAGAAAGACAAATAATTTCCACCATGTGTTCACTTATTTATATATAAAATCATCAATAATTTAAATGAATTTTCATTCGATTATCCGGTTATTTTTAAATGAGGAAAAGTATGTAAACATTGTACAACATAGCAGTCTGATTTAGTTTTTAACCTTTTAAATTAAATTAAATTTAAACATTAAAATCCATATCGAAGCAATATGTATTATGAATTATTTCTCATTTCAGAATCCTGGCGTGTGTATGCCGTAATACCTTCTATAGTTATTAACTGTTTGTTCATGCTGCTGGCTTTAATTAAATTTGCAATAGTAATATACAGACGACGGTTTATAAAAAAGAGAGATGAACCAACAATTGATGTAGAGGAACGCAGACCCTTGAATGTATCTAGCAACAGAAGCAGGTAATATTAACATTGAAACGTCCTACAGTATTTAGCTTTGCTTGTTGTCCGATTGCAATTAAAACCTTGCTGTAAATATAACTACAGGAACCGTTGAATGTTGTCGATGTAAATATATTTGACGACGAAGTACAATGCCACAATTATATATACATATGACATAACATACTTTTTAAAAACATGAAATAAGTTACACCACAATATGTTCGTTGTAATTGCCGTCAAAATGAAGTTATATTCTTATATTAACATAAAAAGAAAGTTTAAAAGTGATACGGAGAATTAACAGTCGAAGCGGGTAACTCCTGGTGGTAGTAAAGATTTACAGTAATGTCCACATGCGTGTTTGTGTTGTGTCCTTTTATAAAGACTCTACTGGTGGATTTTTTTAGTTCCCTGTGTTTGCTCTAACATAAATGGCAACAGTGATTTCTTTTGGGTTGTGGCACGCATCAGCATATAACACTTTGCAGATTGTTTTAATGTGAAATTAACAAGTATTCCTGTGTATGTTTAAATTCATACATTAAGGGATTTTACGCACATGCCCCTATGTTTTACATTAGTTTCACATTAGTTTAGACAATTTAGATTTCAAACATTTTGGCACCAAGCATCACCGATGAGTCCATCAAACAGTTGTATGATACGTTGTACTTTATTGTTTAGCAAACTGGATCTTTAACCAAAAAGGTACAATAAACTATGTGCATGTGTGTTACGTTCATCTTACGATCAGTCTTTCCTTTTTCCTTCTCAGTGATTCCGGTTTGGACAGGAGTTCTGTACAAATAGAAATGGAGCCGTTAGGTACTAACTGGGGACCTATATTCCAGATGGTGTCCAGCCATATAACAGACAACTGGAAGGATGTGATACGGAGTCTGTTTCATGGTATGTTTATGTAAATATTGTGTTACATCATGCAATCTTCAGTTGTTTGCTCTTAATATATTTAATTCACCTGGTGTAAAGGACTGGTGGACTTAATCATATAAGCCGTAACGCGTTGTCTGTAGTTCGTCCGTCCGTCCGCCAACTTTTCCTTTTCAACACTTCTATTCCTGAACGGCTTAAGTGCACTTTGACTAAATATGGCATATAGTACCCTTTGGCATTGAGGATATAATTTTATAAAAATGGAAAGTATGCCCCTGGGTGGGGGTGGGGGGTGGGGGGCTAATTTTGCGGAAAGTTATATAAATCGGTCGAATTTTTCTTCTTTAAAAATAGAGGGATTCTAACCAAATTGTGCCCAGGGTATCATTTGGCAAAGATACTTTCAATCAACTCTATGTCGCAGAATATTTATTCTTGCGTAAATCTGAGCTAAAATAGTTGAACAATGATTTATGACTGGATAACACAAGAGAGACATACCTAGTGAAGCGACAAATATTGTGAGATCGATAATACAGAAAGAATATAACAAACTGTTAAGTTCGTTTACAATGAGAACATACTTTATATTGATGATTGTTTCTTTCTCGGTACATGGTTTCACAAAAGTAAGGAACGATTCTTTTGATCAGTTAAGAATATGTCATATACCAATGAATAATAATATTGTTTAAATTAACATTTTATAGAATTAAAATGCAACGAATAGATTTCATGTGCAAAACAAAAGATCACAATACATGGACCTTTAAAATTACGCTTTGATTCTCTATGCGTTGCAGCCATAGACGTTGACGAATGTGATACAATCATTCAGGAAAATCAAAATAACAACCTACCTGAAACGGAACAGATTTACCAGTGCCTTTCAAAATGGCAACAACAAAGAAGATCTCATTCGACAGACGTCCTTGTCCAAATCCTAACCGAGAACTCCTACCATAATCTCGTGCGAACATTGCAAACTGATTTTCAGTCGGAATTCACGACAAATCCGGACACAACCTGAAAAAAGCTGCCCTGCAGGTAGGGCGTAAGAATTGTACCTGCTGCCCCCAATTGCATGATCGTAAGAGGCGACTAAATTTGGGACCTTATCTCTTCTCTCCTTTCTAAATAACTTTCTTTTTCCTAATGTCTCCCTTGACAATGCCTCACTTTTGGCCATTTGTTGAGCGTTCGCCCCTGTGAGGAAGGCTTTGGGTTCTGTCCCCTGGCCGAGACATACCAAAGTCTTTAAAAATGGTAGTTTCTACTCCTGCTTAACGCTCAGCAAATTAGGAGTGGGACGACTGGTTCGCCCGTTGTCAGTATAATGTGACCGGGTGGGGCGTCCTGCTGGGTGTCTTCGGCAGTATGTTTCAGTGAGGTAGCACTATAAAGTCGGCATCAGTTCCGCGCTATTACAAGAAGACAAACACGAACATATCGCAGCCTCCCAAAATACACACACATACACTACACGCATACATCTTGCACACAGGGTAGGCCGTCCTTAAATGACCTTAGCTGTTAATAGGACGTTAAACAAAATCAAACAAACAAACAAACAAAAGCAATCCTTCGATTTGGTCAACGGAATTCTGAACAGCAGGATGATTTGTCCCCAATTTCACGTGATCTTTTGATGGTCGGGTTGAACTGTGGATAACGCAACCGCCTTTGAACGAGTCGACCGGGGTTTGATTTCCCGATCGGACGTGAAAAGATATGGGTCACCTGCTCGACCACGTGGTTACTGCCGGTTGCTCCAATTACATTTCACCTAAAGACACCATTTGCGCTTTCGACCGGATCAACAAGAGTGCTTGATGTATATAGGTTGATCTTACTTGGGTTTTTTGATTGTTGAAAGAATCATAAACATACGTTGTAATAATTAAAAAATAAATTAACAAGAGTGTGTCATTTGATGAGATTTAAAATTGTGATACGCTCGACAAACTGTATGTCGTAACGGATTTAACATTTGTTTTATTGTAATATGAGTAGTTACAGACAGTAAACAGCTTGTATTAAGTACCTTGCGATCATGATGAGGATCGGTAGTATGTAGCATTTGTTGTTACAGGCATCGTGTCATATATGTAAGAGTGAATCACTGCACAAAACAAATCTGGATTATTTTGCTTGTTCAATATTAAAATTGATATCGGTTTCATCGGAATATTTCATACATTTTGTCCAAGGGCAGATGTACAAGGTAAAATTATATGTACACATTCTATAAATAGCTGTAAGGAATTTCCACAAAAGCATTTAAAATCTAGGTGTAGTACATAAGCTATAACGCGCAGTACGGTATGTAACGTTGATCTCTGACAGCTTAACATATACCTACTGCCGTACCTTATACGAGCTTCAATTTAAATTATATAACATTGTCCTTTTTTGTCTTAGACGAAAGGTGCCAAGTGCGTTTCATCTGATGATAATTTATAGAACATGATGTTCTAAATGTAAATATAAATAATTATGTAGACTTCATTATATCTGTTGAATACATCACAGTTATGTATATGTCAGTGTTTTCTATAATTGCCAAGTCACATTTACCCCGAAGTGAATTTTTCATCCAAATGTATGTACATTGACTATTACGATTTAAGATTTTTTTTTTTCAGGAATTGCCATCGATCTTTGAAGGTGGTATTAATCCAGAAATTACTCTACTTTTACTCGTTGTTTTATATGATTGATCTGAAAAGTAAATACTCATTGTCTTAAGATCTGGAAAATTTCTTATTGAATCAATCTTTCTAAATTTGTATGGGTTGATCTAAACAGATGTAATGATATCATCCTTTTTAGATATCACTGATCTGCTTCAATTAAACCGTCCTTACCGAAAGATCAGGGACATCTTCGATATCCGAGGGATAGTCGGGGTGGTGGGTGTTGGGGTGACAGAATCGAGGTTTCCTTGTTTGCTATTTTTGCTATAAACAAACACTGGCCAATATTAAGACTAATAGAGATGTTATCTGTACTTTGACGATTATCAAAGAGGTACTTTGAAATAGTTTGGTTTAGTTTAATTTTGTTAAACGTCCTATCAACAGCTAAGGTCATTTAAGGACGTGCCTCCATGTGTGAAGTGTATGCGTGTGTGTATGCAGGAGACAGGGTATGTTGGTGAGCTTGCCTCCTTGTGATAGTGCAATAATCATTACGGTGCAGCCCGATTCATGTTTATTTTTGATCAACAAAAACATTTATCTTTGGAAATAAATTTAGAGAATTCCACAACAAATTTTCAGACAAGTTAACGATAATCTTCAAAATTACGTATACATTCACTTTGATTCTAAATTGCCAAAACCCAGGGCTTTGAAAATCGGATGAGATATCAGGATAAATAATTAATTTTACACGTGATCATTAAAAATATTCCATGGCTATACCCATGGGATTTGCTTCTTTTACATCTGATCACGCCTTTTTGCGGTATATCTGGTGAAATAGGTATATCTGGTTTTCATTTCGTTTTGCGGGTTTCTCTCATGTTGATATTTCACCTACATTGTTGTACCAAATTATTGTCAATATGTACTCAATTATCACCAATTTGTCTTTCATTTGTTTAGATTTTAGCAATGCATGTCTAATAATTGTGTTATGGTCTCGACAGTGACTTTGCTTTTTTCGAGCAACTGCAATGCGTTTTATAGGACTATATCATTTGTTGTTTATTTATTTATTTATTTCACTTCAAAACAACAGTTTGTGAACAGCAAAGACAGTATTGTCAAATTATGTGACTTCCCAAAAGTGGACATCTTACCAAATGGTGTAAGAGTCTGACAACACTCATTGCATTGTCAATACAATACAAGTGATAACAAGAGTTAAATGAAGAAGATAAAAAATCAGCATTATTTAATAATGTAATTTATTTTCAAATGAAAGATCACGCATTGTGCATTATACAACATAAATGTTGATTTCAGCATATGTTCTCTGTCGAACTGTCCTGAACAGACCTAATAAAATCTAAGCATAATTTATTCAGTTGTTACATAATTGTTTGCAATTGTTTGACATTATTCCTGTTTTTTTTCTAAGTTTCAATTTTGCACATCACCTTATTACTCTAAAGCACATGTACCCGTACTGAACTATCGGAAAAGCAGTGTTAATATTTCTTTAGCATTGACAAGAAACGCAAAAAGTAAATATAACGGTATCATTGATTTTTAAACAGTTAAAACGGATATAAAACGGCTGCAAACAAGATAAGAACCATTTAAATCATTTAAAGAATAACCAGGATTATTTGTGGGTTTTAACAGTATGCACCAAAACACAAACACAAAAGTGCTCACAATTTTTCGGTATTACCCGTGTTATACCAAAAATAAAGGTGGTAACTCCTTATAATTCCTTTTTTAATTGAAAAAGTCAAACAACTTTTTGAGTTCAAAGATAATGAATATTTATTCATTTCAGGAAGGAAAAATTTGCATAAAACATAACATTGCGAAGTATTTTCGTTCCAAAGCAACGTCAACCAATCAGAAGTTAGAATTACGAATACCGCGCCAAACATTGCGGTATACGACGTCATTATTTCTTGTTTTTTGCTGTTTAAGTTATACGATATTACATGAAAAAGTCAAGCATTGAGGGAATACAGGGAATTCAATTATGATTTTATTTGAACAAAGCCGTAAATTTCATTCTAATAGAAGTTACCAATGTATACGCAGTACAGTAAACGTATTACAGACGTCGGTGTCTAATGTTCATATGATCATACGATACGTGAACATACTTAACAGTAACGTATGTTTAAAGCGGTATATCAAGGTCTAATATTAAAGAAATAACAACGGCAAAATGCGTAAACAAAGCACATGGAAATTCAAGTTGACTTTTCCAACAACACAAACACCCACTAAAATCCTATGATGAAACATGTCAGCTAAACAAATACATACACACCGTCATGATGTAAATTTTAGCCCTTCCGGAAATTTGCAATAAGACAATTATCGATGAACATTTATTCGTTCACGGTTTATATACATTATACACATTATATACCAGTAGACAGGAAATATTTTAATTGAAAAGTGCTTTACTATAAGACATTGGTTCGTGGATTTCATTCGCTGTACACATGTTTTTTTGGTAATCCGGAAGCGTACCTAGGTTCACCTGTTTGTATTCACGACACGTGTAATTTAAATATTGGTCCAACTAAAGTATCTTAACGTCCTCAGAGGGAGAAACGAGTTAGGGACAACCAAACTAAAGGTTCCTATGTACAAGCATTGTTGTGAAAAGCATGTTTCAGATTGACCAGAAGATCTTCATGCTCTTTTAGTTCCTCATTCCCTTATTCTAATTCTTGAGCATGTGTATGACAAAACGAATGTAAACCCACTCTCGACGTTGTACACTGCTATGTTTACGTAGTCATTTCACAAAACAATATTCTATCACCTTTACGTTGTAACTACCAAACGGGGCACTCTGGCAACTCTGGAATTATCAGACAAAGTAAACTGGCAACCTTTTAAATCATCACTTACAAGCGGATTAAAATGGTCATAATTTGTAAAAATATCATTGAATAGAATTAAAATGAAATCGAAATATATATAAATAGCTAAAAAAATACCAATTTTTCAAGTTTCCCCAAATCTGTTTTCGTTATGCAAAATTTCGTACAGTTGTCAGTTCAAATTTGAACACGAAGTACATGCTTTATACCGAAAAAAATTCGCCCAGTATAAACTTTCGCCTTCCGCCCAGTGAAATCCAAATACCCTCAATACCCCTAATGTCGTCAATCACATTTAACTTATGTGAATTGCGTTGTTCTTTTTAATGAAAAATTCGCTCTCAATCCAGTAGGCGTAAAAAGGCGAAAATTAACTGCAGCGAAACTTTCCCGATATTCTTAATTGATCATAATCGTAAAATATACAGGGAAATATGAGCTAAAAATGTTAAATGATTTCTGAACGCCATCTTATTTTGGAAGAAGTATGGCTGCAATGTCTAGAAAGACTATGGCCGACACTGCACCGACAATGATGACTACCCCGAAAGAGCCAATGCTATTAGCAGATGTCCTCATGTCCATGGCGCTCGACTTCTTTATTCGGTATGACGTCAGAGCTGACTTGTTGACCGTCAGCTCTACCTTCAGCTCATCCACTAGTTTAAGTATTCTCTCAATTGCAGTTTTATTCCCAGACGCAATAAGTGATGCCATGTTAATACTATCCCAAACGGCTTTTTTGCAGCTACAATTTTGTGCACAGCTTGACGAGGGAGCAGTTTGGGAAACTGTATATGAAAAAACTTGTTTGTTACAACATCACAAAGCAGCATGTTTGCCCTACACGTATTATAATGCTCTGGCAGGCTTGTCTGCATTGACTGCATTTGTAAAAAATTGATTGAAACATTTAGTTTCTGGTTCCTTTCATGAAAATATAATCATCGTTCGATTTGAATTATTATGAATACTTGACTATTAATAATAAAACATATGGAAAGAAAAAAAAATGTTAAACATGTAACGAATTTGAATTGTCAAATTAAAACTTAATCAAAATCGAGTTCATGCATCTGAATTAGAAGGGACATTTTCAGAGGTAATGGAACAGTCTTTACGAAACATCGGTGTGATAGCCATTTACTACCATTGCTGTCTGAATATAGAATGAAAAGTCCTACTGACCTGGTGTATTGGTTGACGTTCGTGTGTTAACGCTATTGCCGGAACCGGACACAAATTCAGGAATAACAGGCGTTGTTTCACTTATAATCGATGTTCCTCCTGAATCGCTACTGGAGCTGGAACCAGATCAGCAAGCAACTTAACACAATGTATCTTCTATCAAATTATTATCATTATATGCAAATATAGATTTTAAGTGACGGAAATTACAGTTCGGCTAAGGAATCCGGTCATTAACGCATGTATTGGGCGAGTATCCAACTAGATGAGATAATATGAACAGAGAATTTTATTTTCATTTTTTTTCGTTACATTGTTAAACACAATAAGTGCTAGTATGGCTTTTACTTTTCATTGTTTCAACGTAATGACATATCGTAAACTATGTCTTGGTAATATGGTAACAACAAACCAATAGTTTTATAATCTATGTTCGTTTATACCTGCTTATCACGGAAACAGGACTAGTCGTCAAAG